TATATATATATAGATTTTCAGACCCGCCATGCACCCGACTACTATACTGAATCTTTTGGTCTTCTGCTTGCCCAGACCTGCCTCACAATGAGCCGGCAAAATTCATTTTCTAGACTAGAACCAGATTTTCATCTATCAAAACAAATCTGTTGGCGAAATATACACTTCGTAATAAATGTACTATTCGCACGGAAGTATAAACAGTTGCTCATAGCCCTCGTAATCTGGAGCCTGCCTGTCTTTTCCAGAGCTTGCAGAATTCATATCAACGATAGGAGTCTAGAGATATGAAAAAAGATCCTTGCCCCTTGTCTCGATCCAGGCTGACGTCTAATATGAGCTGAGCATGAGGAACTTTTGAAAACATTCAATCGGCATACCAGTGTTCCTCCTCTTTGATAAATCTGATACCAATTAATCGGCTTTGGAGGGAGGTATGAAAGGTTCGATTGGTACAACCCTTCCTCCTGCCTCCCTCCCCCTCAGTGCCGACGTTCAGACATTTGAGTGTTCTCGTGGCCGTTGATTCTTTGCAGGTTTGCTCAGATGTGACTCGAAGATTAAATCATAATAGCTGGTTTTGTTTTTTTCACGGGATTACACCTTACAAAAAGGCCTCCTCCTCCGTGCATCTCCTCAATCTGACGTACCACCTTAACAACAAGGAAGCTACGGTATTTTTTCCTTGATGCACCTTCTAGAAGCTTGTCATAGGTTCGTGGCAGATTACGAGAGTATCGCCATCAAAAACGTTTGGCTGTACATTCCTATTCTATTTTTATATATCATCTGTTATTTCTGTCTTGTGTCTTTTGTCTTTGTCCTTTGTCTCTTTTAAGCATAGTTCACATTAAAAATGGTTTCTGAGATTACTGCATAGACTGAATCTGTCCTCACCCTCAAGGATAGCCTCAGAGTTACTGTCAGATAGAAAAACAGTCAAGATAGGGTGTAATGAGGGCTCCAAAACTGATTAGTCGACGTACATACCAAAAGCGGACGAGTTGTTAAACATTGTAAAAGCTGTAGAAGTTACCTTTGTACCATTCGTATGCCTTTATTTGTACTCGGACCCACACCTTGTATGCAGGTAACGAATTGCAGCCAGGTGTATGCAGTGGCGCCTTTGCTCGGACAGCTCGTCCAAATACCCCTTTCATGCAACTTCTGTCGTAACATTCTCGTCCAACCCCTTATTTTTCAAATTTCCTTGAAGACCTATTTATATTTGTCTAGTTTTTGCGTTTCCTCTTCCACTTTCGCACTACTCCGGACTATCACTTCCATCAGTCATCCAAAACCAGATAATTCAAGATCACCGTGAACTGTGCTTTCAACTTAAATTACAT